TCCAACGTACCGCCATCGAAACCCACTGCTGACGGCGTGGTTTTTATCATGGTAAAATGGGTACCAGAATGGGTGTCTTGTGGAAGTAAATACGGCCAGCGTAATACTGACCACATTACCCACCTAGTGCCGACGGGTCTGTAAACATATGGGTGCTCTTTCCATGTGCCCGATGCGCCTAAAGGTATAAAAAAAAAAGATCTTTACTTCCTCGAGACCTTTATCCTTTATTCTCCAAAAACAAAACAAAAATTATGAAAAGACGAAACAGACGTAAAAGTTTACCATTTTCAACATTCAAATTTTAACAGCTTTATGTTACATAACGTATAACTTTCATAGGTACAAATAAATAACCACGGAACCATTATAACCATTACAGTCAGTAAGTATTAGTCAAAAAAAAAAAAAAAACAGACAGTAAACCGCGACACAGCTCTTCTGAGTCTTCTGAAAACTTACCATTTCCCCTGCTCTTGGCACTGAGGGTATAGAGGGCCCATAATCATCATCAGTTAGCAGGTCCTTCACAGAAAATCAGGTAGTCGCCGTGGCGTTGGCGGCCAGACGCCCGCTTGCGTTTTGGAAGGTCGTGGGTTCGCGTCCTGGCGGATCCGGACTTTTTATTTCTTAAAAAAAAACATTGACTCCCAGGTCGCACCAGCCTTGAGTGGGTACTAGGTAAAGCCCTGGGAAGTAAAGCGGCCAGCGTGATGCTGACTACATCACCCACCAAGTGCCGATTGCTCTAAAAAAATATAGGTCTAGTCCTATATTCTCAATACGTCTACAGGCGTGGAAATGGGACCTTTACAGAACTTAGCTCTATCACGGTAAGCAGTCGTTGTGCTTTCATAGCTAATGCATCTTCAGTGTTCTATATTTAATGTTTCTTTATTGTGTTATATCCACCTTCGAAGGAGTCTTTGCCTAAGACAACGAGAGAAGGAAACCGCACCTTCTATCACATGGCATGTCTGTCGCACACGAACATGACTACATAACGGCCAAAATATCTCAGTTTTCAGGACAGGATACACAAGGCTAAAACCATATATTTTACTGATCACTTTATAATGAAAGGACTATGTGATCACTTTATAATGAAAGGACTATGTGATCACTTTATAATGTAAGCACTATGTGATCACTTTATAATGTAAGGACTAAGTGATCACTTTATAATGAAAGGACTATGTGATCACTTTATAATGTAAGGACTAAGTGATCACTTTATAATGAAAGGACTATGTGATCACTTTATAATGAAAGGACTATGTGATCACTTTATAATGTAAGGACTATGTGATCACTTTATAATGAAAGGACTATGTGATCACTTTATAATGCATGGGCGATGTGATCACATTGTACCGGCCACATTTACGTCCCATGAAACCTCGCAATACTCACTTTTAGACTGGGTCGAGTTTAAAAAAATGGTTAGTTGCGAATCCTTTACAGGACGTTGCAGAACCAACCCCAGCAGCCCAGTCTGTGGGAGGTAAAGGCAGTGTGGTGATGCTGAGCAAATCACCCGTCCAGTAGTTTGCCATTTGGTCTATAAACAGTCAGTTCCTATACCACTGTCAAAACCAACAATACGCCATAATGCAGCTAGGAAAACCCGGGACCTTAACATTACAGAAGCGTTCGCATCGACTTAGTCACGAGCCGACTGGCTCGAGTTAGGTGCTTTCATAAAAATGCGTCCAGTTATTTATAAGTAATGTAAAGTAAATTAAAGGACCCACCTTCCTTCTGTCTTTAGGCGTATACCTCCATAGGGCTAAACTTCATTTTCTAGACGCAATCGGCACAAGATGGGTGAAGAGGATCACACAAGGCTAGCCGCATATGCTTTCCTGAGACTGCAAAAACTCAAGGACTGGGTCAACACATTGTGCCAAGGTCACATTTAAAAAAGACCAGCTCCGCCACCTATCGAATATTCGACCTTCCGATCCGCGACGAGCGTCTAGCCGCTCGGCCACAGCGATTCCCTCCTGTTTTGGTACTAAAGACCTTTGTGTCCCCAACTTCATAGGGCCACTGCTGCACCACGTCTGTCTACTGTTTGAAGATGAAATAATAAAAGCTCGTTGACAATAAAACAGTTGTAAAGTATTTTACTAGCCAATATATTATGTTATTATATTGTTCTGTTTGTCATCCGTGGGACATGGTCTGTTATTTGTGATAGCTTCTCAGACCTATATCTTTTAAAGATATATTAGGCATAGTTTTGCATGTAAATGTAAATTTAGTTTAATGTCTCAGATTAAAAGTAAAACCATTACTTGTTAGGTCTGACTGGTCAAGACCTTTATAAACTTTGTAATGTGAAAATCAAAAGAAGATTATGCAATGCTGTCTATTTCCTTTGGATGTCGCTGTTGACACAAAAGGCATACCCATGTAAACCCCACTGTTGCCAGCCTAATGCTTTTTCAGAGTAAAATATGCCATACCATTTTATGTTCCTTTATTTACCCTGCTGCTGTTCTTTTTCAAATTGCATTTGGCTGGCCACGTCTCTCTTTTTTTCCATCTGCCGTTCATCAGAGAGCTATACCTACCAAAAAGTTATGAGACATTCGGCAAGTGTGATCTGTAAGCGTTGCAAACATTCACTGCTTCCATTATCTTCACGTTCTACACGTACAGTCCAGCTTCGTAGAAAGATACAACTGGTGATCCAGAGCTTGATAGGTGGCACTAGCTGATGTTTTCTGTGTGAAGTTACAATATATTTACTTTCGTCAGTCCCTACTCTGTTGAAGATTTTATAATTTGTGATATTACTTATTTACAAACTCGTTAAACAATGAGATACAGATCTCTTTGTGATATGTGCGATACAAAACGCACAAATAGAAGAACTTGGCTACATTGACTGGAAAAAAGTTCTTTGACAAACATCGTTTTGTTCTTGTATCTGTTATATATAGAATTAACGCCTGTGTTAGTAACTCGTGTTGCAGCATTCGCACAAGATGCCATAAGGATACGATCTGCTACTTCACAGATGCTATTTCCCCCACAGTATTTGACAGCAGCATTTCTCAATTGATCTCTTTCTATCCTCCAATGGAGCATAGGCCCTCAACCAACTCACGCCAATTACTGCCTTGCTTCAGGTATTTCTTCCCATAGGTGTTTACTGCCTTGCTTCAGGTATTTCTACTCATAGGTGTTTACTGCCTTGCTTTAGGTATTTCTTCCCATAGGTGTTTACTGCCTTGCTTTAGGTATTTCTTCCCATAGGTGTTTACTGCCTTGCTTCAGGTATTTCTGCTCATAGGTGTTTACTGCCTTGTTTCAGGTATTTCTTCCCAAGGTGTTTACTGCCTTGTTTCAGGTATTTCTTCCCATAGGTGTTTACTGCCTTGCTTCAGGTATTTCTTCCCATAGGTGTTTACTGCCTTGCTTCAGGTATTTCTTCCCATAGGTGTTTACTGCCTTGCTTCAGGTATTTCTTCCCATAGATGTTTACTGCCTTGCTTCAGGTATTTCTGCCCATAGGTGTTTACTGCCTTGTTTCAGGTATTTCTTCCCCAAGGTGTTTACTGCCTTGTTTCAGGTATTTCTTCCCATAGGTGTTTACTGCCTTGCTTCAGGTATTTCTACTCATAGGTGTTTACTGCCTTGCTTTAGGTATTTCTTCCCATAGGTGTTTACTGCCTTGCTTCAGGTATTTCTTCCCATAGATGTTTACTGCCTTGTTTCAGGTATTTCTTCCCCAAGGTGTTTACTGCCTTGTTTCAGGTATTTCTTCCCATAGGTGTTTACTGCCTTGCTTTAGGTATTTCTTCCCATAGATGTTTACTGCCTTGCTTTAGGTATTTCTTCCCATAGATGTTTACTGCCTTGTTTTAGGTATTTCTTCCCATAGGTGTTTACTGCCTTGCTTTAGGTATTTCTTCCCATAGATGTTTACTGCCTTGCTTCAGGTATTTCTGCTCATAGGTGTTTACTGCCTTGTTTCAGGTATTTCTTCCCAAAGGTGTTTACTGCCTTGTTTCAAGTATTTCTTCCCAAAGGTGTTTACTGCCTTCTTTCAGGTATTTCTGCTCATAGGTGTTTACTGCCTTGTTTCATGTATTTCTGCTCATAGGTGTTTACTGCCTTGTTTCAGGTATTTCTGCTCATAGGTGTTTACTGCCTTGTTTCAGGTATTTCTTCCCAAAGGTTAGTTTAGAAACTGCCTTGCTTAGTTAGCTCCATTGGTACTTGCCTGATGATTACTGCCTTGCTTATCAGGCTATTTTAACTTTTTAATAGGTGGATTTACTGCCGAGGCCAAAGTATATTAATCATGGCCATAGGTGATGATACTAAGTTTTGACCCCCGTGTGGGTTGATTGTGGGGAAAACAAGGGATTACCCACTGCCTACCCAAAAAAGCATGTCGAAAGAGTCGACTAATTGGGGAGCTTCCTTTGAAGTCGGAGTGCATCTGCCGGAGAGGCAAGGAACCAACAGTCTGTATTCAAGAGAATGAGATCTGTAAAACTGATGCACACGCAACACTCAGGTTCTGGAGCAGGACTGCAGTTCAGTAGTGGACGAGCAACCAGAACTTTCCGCCAGAGTGTACAGCTGGTGAACGCGAAGAAGAAGAAGATTGTTAAATTTGCACTGCTAACAGAGAAAATTACCAACTGGGAGCCAGATTTTTAAAGTATAATTTGATTAACGTTTCAGATTAAGGAATCACATTATTCTATGGAAGGAGAACGAGGGATAGACCCATTCACACACCCGCGTTGCTTGGAAGTGAAAGAGTTAAAGTAGCCAATGTTTGTGTCCAATTGAGCTAACAAAAAATATTACCACAGAGCCGAGAAAGTAAAAATAGCAACTCGGATGTAATGAGTTAATGTAACACTGATCTGCCACAAGAGAGAGTCAAAGATGTTAACTGGCTTTAGACTAGCCAATTTACGTATGGTGACTTGCATGGCAAGGAAAGCGTTTAAAGTGGCACACCTTTTACTTCAATAGGGCAGCTGTCCAGCTCCTTGGCGCTCTTTGAAATATCCATGAGGTTCACGGGGCTCCACGATGTAATAGTTGTCAGCACCTGGCCGGTAGGCGATGATCTGATCTGTGCCTCGGCGAAAGACAACGGGTGGTCGGGGGTATGTCTTCTCGATGGACCTGACAACAGTTGTTGGGTAGTAAAACTCAGACGACCTCTTCCTTCGAGAATGCGATGTTTTGCTAGTGTTGGACCTTACTGAGCGCTGATCGAAAGTCATATTCCAGTTTCCTCCCCAAACCCTTACTGGAAGAGTGTCGGACCGCAAGGAATCTCTACCGCGTCCTTGTACAAGCTTAGGATAGTGAGCGGCAGGAGGTTCTATCCTGGCTTCGTATGTTCTGGAAGATGGTTCTCTATAAATCACAGGTTGGGTAGGCACATGGTTTCTCGATGTTGTTGAGTATACAACCTTTCCAGGTGAAGGCACGCTGTGTCCAGAATATACAAGATGGTTTCCTGATTCTATACGTCTTTTATCAACTTCTAGAATATTCTTTGAGACGTATTCAGGTCGTCCCTTGTGTTTGCGAATGTCGTCACTATGGTGACGAGTGTGAACTTCAGTTGTGGTTTTTGAACTGGGCAGAACCTCAGTTTCAATGACATAATCATCGCCGACATTATTTGCAAAAAAATAATTCTTTTTATGCACTTTTGAGCTATTTGAATTCCCACTAGTACTTCGCTTCGTGTAAACACCTTTCTGATAGCTAACTGCCGTGTAGGCGTCGGTAGCTTCAGGACTTGCCCTGTACGCCATGACAGTTCCGTTTTCTGCTCCAACCGTGACGCCACCGTTTGGTGTACGATCACTGTACACATCAGTTACAAGTTTGCGCGATCGAGGGAAAAGTCTTTCACGAAGGGTCCAGTTCCCGTTATCTTTCTTCTTCAGCTCCACACGGGAAGACGACAAGTGCTTCTGAATCTCTCCAAAGCCACTAACCAAATGAACTGCATCTTTCTCCGAAGCACAGCGTAAAGCAATTATCTTATACTTCTTGTCCACATTTGAAAGTATAAGCAACACACACTGAGAGAAGTCCGGACTCCTAGTGATAGTTCTTAAGTCTCCTATGGGAAAAACTGTGGTCTTTCTTTCTTTAAATAGTTTTGACCGAGTCAACTTCACACCTTTACGACTCAAAACAACCTTGACTGTTTTGCCTTTCTCTGATTTAGCTAGAGCTGCAATGGTCTTCACAATTTCATCAGTGAAAACATCCTCATTCCATGTTCCCAGCATTTTTACTTTCCGTGATACTTCGGGACTCGCCATGGTGCTCGGCTAGCTGTTGTTAGGGATATTCCCGCTAGAAAGTTCACATTTTCAAGGCATAACGTTAAATCCGCTTGACACAATCAGGATTTTCCCAATTTCGTCAAAGGTTTTAGATTCTGAAATGTAAAAAGACACAGGTCAAACAGATATGTAAACTACAGGTACGATTATAATGTAATATGACGTGTTATCTCTCTCTCTTTCTCTTTTTCTCTCTCTTTCTCTCTCTCTATGTCTCTCTCTCTCTCTCACACACACACACACATACACACACACACATACGCACACACACACATATACACTTAACTTTCAAAGATTTTAGCACAGAATATTTGCAAACATCTTTCTTTTTCCTTTTGAGTAATAGTACAGTCTCTCTCACTCACACACACACACACACACACACACACACACACACACACACACACACACATATATGTATATATATATTTGTGTGTGTGTGTGAGAGAGAGAGAGTCTCAATGTGCAGACATATCTGATACTATGCCCTATAACATTTATTAGAATCAAATGCTCTATTTCCTAAAACAAACACCACAGTATATAAAACACAGATGAGGCCATATTATACATTTTGAGAGCCGAAGTCTTATGGCGTCACTTTGGACCCATATACAGACATAGAGGAATGGGAAAGTAAAAAAAAAAAAAATGATGGAATTTATAATCTATTCAATTCCCATTAATTAGTGATACGATAGGGAAAAAAAGAAAGGGGGGGGGGGAGTTGGGGGAAGAGGGGGGGGGGGAGACTGCTAACGCGAAAATAATTTAATGGGAGCAGACCACGAGGCAGACCAAGAAGACAGCGGTGAGATAATATACTTTCAGACCTACAAACAGTTGGGATCATTAGTTACAATGAGGAAGCCATCACAAGATTGAACAAAGGCGCCTTGTCTGCAGCAGAGAACCTCGAGAGCTCGGAATGCTATAGAAGAAAACAACTACAGCTCACAGTAAATAGGTGTATATCTTTTTCTTTGCATGCGATGGCCTCTAAATCTTTGAAGATACAAGAGCTATACATTAATTTTTTTTTATTGGATTATTATTGGATGATTATTGGATTATTCTATTTTCACAAAGCTGCTTATTTATTTCAACTTTATCTGGGTCATTTTGGTAAAGATCTGACGACGGCATTCATGACAAGTCCGTGTAGCTTCGTCTCCTTCCTCAACAACTAATGTAAAGTATTCATATTGAAGGTACCCGTTGTCACCTGGTTAACTACTCGTCTTGCCTTTCTCTCAAGTCTCGAGTAGCACCCAGAGCCAGCAAACACTTCCAGCTGCTCACTCTCTCCAGGTTCTTTCTTCTTTCTTTTCTCTACCCCTGGAACAGGCCCTTCTGTTCGCTTCGAATAAAATACTTTTCAATGCCTCTGATACTTCTGCGGTCCATTTTTGCGTGGTCGACCTCTGGTTCTGTTACGGTTGTATCTGTATAACATTGCTCCCTGTGGTGCCCTGTTTGATGCCAATCTTGTTACATGGCCATATCTTTTGATTTGTTTCTACTTATAAAATTCAGCAGTGGTACTGGGCCGACTCCCGTCCTGATATCATCTTTCCTAAGTCGATCTTTCCTTGTTACACCTAGCATAGTACGTGAGCATTTTATTTCTGTCGTAACTTTTTACCTTCTTCTGAACAGTGCCCATGTTGAACTTTAATAGCATAGCGCTAGTAAGAAATATTATGTTGAACAGTTCTTTCAGTGTTCATTTTCACATGCTTGAATTTCAAATTTGTGCAATATTGCCTAAAACAGGACTGGATTTATTCACGTGGACTTTGACTTCTAGTAATTCTACTTGGTCTCTGGGTAGTGAGATCGGACGCCCGTGTGCACAGTTGTGCACGTAGAAAATCGCTTAGCAGTTGGAAATCGAAAAGAGTAGCCTAACGGCGCTGCCCGGGCAAAATTTTGAGTTAAAAATCTACCTAAAGTATTTCAGGATCTCGCCGGTGCTACAGAGCCTGTGCCCTGAGCTGAGCTTTTTCGGACTCAAGACTTGATATTGAACGAAAAACGAAGCACTTATGGTTACCGTGTACCCGTGTGCCATGATGTTGATCCGTTGTTCAAACTTCTAACTTTAAATCTAATTTGTACAATCATCTGTAAATTACAAAAACCGGTAGAGATAGAATTACCTAACAGTTTTAATGAACATCTTATCTAAAAGACAGGTTGCATCTGTAGGCATCTTTTCCCCTCCCTTCCCTAAGGTTTCTAGTTATGCATGTGCAGTTTTAATTTACTGCTCTTAAAAATAAAAGCAAACTTGGGTGACAGAAAACACAATTAACATCAATGAGGATAAGCTCGTATCGTTAATTCAAAAAGACATCGTTGCTGTCACTCGGTGAGAGAGTTGTTAATTTAAAACTAGAAGGTCTTGCTTCTACTGAACTGTGTAATTATTTGTTAAAAAGAAATACATAAAGCCATACATTTAGACTCCATT